CCTTCAAAGTATTTCATCTATAGAAGGTTCAATGGCATGATGAAAATATAATTTTGGATTTAACATTGTCACATAGTGTAAAAGATTTTTCTCAAAGCTTTGCAAATCASTTCTTTCTTATGTCACATTATAATGGCTGTAAAACACTACATAACTCTAGAATATACTTCTTTGCTGATAAATATTTGCAAAACAAAACAGAAATGTTCAGAAATCTAAAAAGGTTGACTTACAGCAAATGTAGCCCCACAAGGTCTTCTTAGCCATTTTGGTGGTTTTTTCAATGGAGTGCTATCTACAGGTTTCTGTTGTTGAGGTTGCTGATGTAATTGTGCACCAAATGGATCATCAACATCAAAAGCATCATTAACCTTCTTTTGCTCCACAGCATGTTCCGTGGTCCCACCACCCATCAATGAAAACAGGCTAACATGTCCATCAAAAGAAGATGTGCAAATCATTGCTGGGCTTCTAGGACACCAGCTCACATCAAAACTCCATTGTGATGTGGTCGGTAGTTCATAAACTATCTCATTACCAGGTGTAGGCTCATTGGGATTCCAGCAAAGGATGCGGTTGTCTTTCCCACAGCTCATTAGTAGATCAGGGTCTTGAGGGCACCAAGCAATTGATAAGATACCCTTCTGATGGCCCTCTAGGACCTTCATGGGAGATGCTGCAAATCTGAGATCCCACATTTGCATGACTGGGTACCTGTCATCTTCTGAAGCTAAAACCATCTGGGTAGCAGTGCTAGGATGCCATTGGACAGCTTTGCAGCGGATCTGACAAAAGACATTCATTTTAATATCCATTAGAATACTGTAGTACAATTTGCTAGCAATCCGCGATACTGTGAAAAGGGCTTGGGTTCAAATATCATAATTGGTTTTAAAGCCTCTTGATTTCATTTAGTTGCACTCAAAACAATTTTCCAGCACTTATTCATAATTAATTCTTTATTGTGCTTATGGTAAAAAAAACCTGGGCAAATTAATATGGCTTGTGCTATTAAAATTCTTTTGTGAGATATGACCAGATACCATCTTACAGATTCTATACTGTAAAAGTTTTGTGCAAGGTCTTATCAAGAACCTTTATCAGATTATCTCACAGGAAGGTGCAACCTGCAGGACTATTTGCCTAAAATCACTCTAAAATGCATTTAGTTTTTTATTAGAATTTTAGTTATTATTTTTTTCAACAGTGTGATATACAGTACAATACATGTACTACATCAATTTCTTACCATGGCACTATGATCACTGACTTGTATTATTGGTTCATTTTTACGTAAATCCCAAACCACACAGCGACCACAGGGAGATGTTGATGCAAGGATGTGTTGTACTTGTCKGTTCCATGACAAGCAACTGATGCAGTCAGGGGGAGTTGACTTTGCACCAGGTGTGAAATATTCTTTAGGGTTGTTCATGTCCCATATAAAGATTTCTGAGTCTCCAGCACCAGAAGCTAAGAGATTAGGCTGAAATGGATTGAAATCCAATGCCTGTACAGCACCTACATCATATCATGTTTGTTAGAAAATGTTGTTACTGTTGTCGACCAAAAACAAGCAGCACTCCACAATGGTAAAATACAGAACACTGCTCCCTTCCTTCCTTTCAATCTAATGTGATCATGGTACCTTGCATTTTTGTTCAATTATGCATGGGTTTTAGACATGTATTGAGAGTTTAAGTCTAACAAATCATAACATTATCAATTTCCAAATATTATTTTTTCATTCATTTGAGAAAGTATACAATATAGTGCATGCATTATTATGCATTATATACCTGTATGTTTTTCATTTTCAGAAAATATCACTCCAGACTGCTTGTTAAGAATTTTTTTGGCATTATAAATCACAACACTCCCTTTATCAGTACCACCAACCAACAAACCAGAGGCTGATTCTTGTGCTCCAATTCCAAAAGGACTCCAAATAAGCTTTTGAAACCTAGTAAGAAATGAATAGCCGAGTTTAGATATTTTGGTTCAGTGACCATGCACAAAAGAATTGCAGACGAGGCTCCGGGGAAATAAAGAATAAAACGATATTATATGCTCTTTGATTGGTCATTTTGAAGCGTGAACTTCAAAATAACTCTTTGAAATATTAAAAAAAATAAAATTATCAATGGATAATCTTGATTTATTCTTTATTTCCCCGGAGCCTCGTCTGCAATTCTTTTGTGCATGGTCACTGAACCAAAATATCTAAACTCGTCTATT